ACCTGTGCTGCTCGCGGGCGCCACCAGCCCCACGGGCCACGAGGATCATTGGCTGGCACGACCCCTGGTCCCAGAGGAGCTTAGGGCGAGCAGAGACTGGGTGCAGTAGGGAGAGAGAGGGTGGGTGTGTCTCTGTAAGGCAGATATTTCCCCAGGGCTGGGGCCCACCGGTCACGGATCACCCAGTGCTGCATCCCCACCAGCCAGGGGCCCGTCTCTCCTGGGCCCGTCTCTCCTGGGCCCGAGCCGGAAAGGGAACGTACAACGCCTGAGCCGGCTTCGCCGCCACGGAAAGAGAGGTGTTCAGGGATTCCCAGCCTCCTGCTCCCCTCTCTGGAATCCCTGAGTGGATCTGTGGGGTTGCCGGCAGTTTAGGAATCCCCCTCCCAGCCCGGCTGCAGCAGGAACTGGCAGGAAATGGAGAGGGAAGGGTATCGGGGCAACAAGCCTTTGCCTCTCCCTGGGGATTGACAGTCCCCACTAGCACAGCACATGGGGCGTGGAAAACCAAGCGCATTCTTCCCTGCTGTTCCCATGAACAGGTGGGTGAAGTAGGATTGGGGTGCCCGGCTGGCTCCCCAGGCACGGCGACTCTTGAGGGAGGCTTCACAGCTCTGCCAGGCTCCCCGGGTAGGGCGCCGCAGTCCCTCTCCACTCTGCGGGGCTCCTTGGGCGTAGCTCTTCCTCTCTGGGGCTTGGCCGCCCCTCCAGGATCTGTGGAGCTTGGGGCTTGGCTTTTTCCTATGTGGACCCCGCAACGGGCTTCCCAGCAGAGCGTCTAGCAGAGGAGCCAGATTCTTCTGCCTGACAGCCACAGCCTCAGCCACACGGGCAGTTCTGGGGGTTGCCGGAGACTGCACTAGCGCAAACCTTCCTCTCCTCTCTCAGAAGCGGCTGCCTGGGGCCCAGTCTCTCCCTGAGCCTCGGAAGCAGTGAAGGGCTTGGCAGGAGGTGGGTTTCCTGAGGCGTCATTGCTGCGGACATGCTCCCTAGAAGCAGCTCTTGCCAGAAGAATCTCCCTCCTGACTTAGTAAGGGCCTGCCTATCCCAAGGTTGGAGGGGAACCTTGCATCCCCCCCCAACACCTGGCTGGGTCAGCCGGGGACCCTACACACCACACTCGGCTCAAGTGAGATGACCCCCCACTAGGTTAACGAGGGCTGCTGCACCCCCCACTTCCCCACAGGGCTACCGCCAAGGCACAGTGCGTGGGTGTCTGGCAGGGAAAGGGTTAGTTCTCCAGAGGCCTGGGCAGGGTTGGGTGAGGGGGGTTCACAGCCCAGGTGGGAAGGCGAGAGAAATCCCTTCTCCAAACACAGGATCCCCCTTGCGGAGGCTTTCCCCAAACTACCCAGCTTGACACCTTTGAACCTACAGCTCAGCGGAAAGTAAACAGCCAGGGACTTAAAGGGATTCCTGGGCCCTGCCCACATGGGGGTGGGGGAGGAGAGGCCTCCAATCTGTGGGGGAGAGCGGCTTGCAGCAGGGCGTGGGGCACAGGGGGAGACTTCTCCATGGAAATCACCAGCAGCACGTTCAGGGCCCTTCTGGGGAATGTCTCCAAGGGCCTTCCGGTGTTGCCTCAGGCGCTGGGGCGGTTACCAGGCAGAGCCGTGTCCCCGCTGCATCCAGGGCTCCCCTTGCCAGCAGGAGCTCTCAGCCCAGGGCCCGGGCTGGCCCTTCACGCCCGGGAAGGGCTTTCGACACCACGCCTGACTCCCAGCACTTGTAGGAAGGGACAAAGCTTCACGCTGGCCACAGCTGACTTTTGTGACCAGAACTGCCTGGGCGTCCATTTGAGAAGACTTTTTGCCTCACAATTTAACACACTCCTGTCCCCACAGGAGGAGGCAGGCTCCTTCTGGGGGCCAGCGCTTGCTCTGCCTCCTCTGGCCTGCCCCCCGGGCCGCCTTCGCCCCGAGCACATCCCCGCTCAGCCAACACGCTGATCCCGGCTCCGTGCCGTCGTCATGACCCCAGCCTGGCCGGCGATAGGGTGAAAGCAGCCCTTGAGGCTCTGCAGGGCCACACCTCTTGGGGGCGGTGGACTGTATCCCTCCATCCTTGTCTCCTGCTAGTCCAGTAGATAATTAGCTGCTGTTTTCTTGCCTGAAAAGACTGGAGAAGGTGGCTGTGAGAGCACAGCTAGCGCCCTGGCGAGGGGCAGGTGGGGAGGGCCTTGACGAAGTAACCGGGGCTCAAAGGACACCCGAGCAGGCTCCATGGAGCAGCCCCATGATCGCAGCCACCGGCACTCTCAGAAACGTGGCCTCTGGCCGCCCACAGCTCTCCGTTTTGCTGTGGCTGACCAGTTACGTATGATATTTGTGGTGCACCAGCCGCGTGCTCGGCCCTGTACGTGTGCGGAGACCCGTCTCGGCCCTGAGGCGCTTGTGGGAAGAGGGGATCTTGGTGGCCCCTAGAAGGCGGATGAGGGCAGGAGGCACCAGAACGAAGGACTTGGAGCTTGCTGGGTTTTGTTCAAGCTCACAAGACTCGCTCCTTGCAGCGCCCGTGATCTGTTCAGAGGGATCGGAGGGAGGGAGGAGTCGGCAGGCAGGGCGAGCAGAGGCTCCGGAGACCCATGCGGGACAGAGGTGGTGGGCCCACAAGAAGACGTCTTTCTTACCAAGCAGAAGGGGCGGCGAACCCTGGCTGTAGGTTTTGCTAGGCATGGAGGCGCGCCACTCCCCCTCCCTATAAGAGGGTCTGACCCACAGGTGCTGTTTCCATCTCCTCCAGCTCTGTCTTCTCCTCCTTACACCTCATGGCGATGGTGCCTGCTGCAGAGGCCACTTACACCCTTTAAAGAGCCCACAATCCCCAGGAAAGTGCAGATCAGACGTTACGTCTCAAATCTCCTTTGTTCCCACAGGGCCTGCCCAGCCCGGGATGGCCGGGGCACTGGTTGCTATGGGACTGCAGCCTTTTCAGCCCGGCTCCTGTCTGGTCACCATGGCTTCTGTTGGCAGGAACAAAGCAGCCCATTCTTTGCCGCTTCCCCACCTGAGCCAGGGAAGGTAGCAAAGCAGATGTCCTGCGAGGAGAGGCCCATAGTGCACACCTGCCACGGAGTAGCAGACAAGTCACCCTGCGTAGCTCTGCCTGGCAACAGCCTCCGCCACCCCCTCAGCGGCACTGCAGCTTGGGAGGCAGCTGCCCTTGTAGCTCTGGCAGGAAGTCACGGCCATGCCAACTTAGGCCTTATGACAAGGGGTGGGCAGAGGGTAAGCGCCCAGAAGAGGGGGGGGCCTCTCTTCATCATGGAGGAAGAGCAGCTGGGAAGTCACCCTGCGTAGCTCTGCCTGGCAACAGCCTCCGCCACCCCCTCAGCGGCACTGCAGCTTGGGAGGCAGCTGCCCTTGTAGCTCTGGCAGGAAGTCACGGCCATGCCAACTTAGGCCTTATGACAAGGGGTGGGCAGAGGGTAAGCGCCCAGAAGAGGGGGGGGCCTCTCTTCATCATGGAGGAAGAGCAGCTGGGAAGACCAGGCTAAGGTGGGTTTGGGGTGGTTGGTAGAATGGCAGAGGGAAGCCCCGTCACAGGGGACAGGAGAGCTTGGATCAGAACAACATGCCCTTTCCCCCTAGGGGGTACGAGGACTTTGTCACCACTGCCCAAGACTATCCATTCCAATCCAAAGGAATTACCGCGGGCGGCACGGCCCTTTTGCGTTTGCCAGCAGAAAGGCTACAGGAACGTCAGCAGACCGCTGATTTCAGACTCCAGCGTGAGTCCCAGCGCCAGAGAACAGGGTGTGGGCAACGCTCCCCGTGAGCTAGGAGTCCAGCCAGAACAGCTGCTGGCACGCTGCTTCCAGACAGTCGCTCGGTGCTCACCAGTCACTGATTGTGTGGGGCGGCTGATTCTCAGCAACAACTAGGTTTAGAGACAGTCGCTGATGGGAGAGAGTGGAGCTAAGGCCAAGGAGGGGGAAATGCAGCTCCGCTGTCCCACCCCATAGGAGCAGGACCATGAATGGGACAAGATCTGAAGAGCAGGAGTAAAATTCCACCACTTTTCCTCCAGCCTTGCAGCTCCAACAGCCTCCCCCTGCCTTCTGCTGGGTGCGGGGCTGTGGTCAGGCACCGTTCGGCCTGGACTCCTCTTATGCGGATTTCTGTTTTATTTCAGGGCCCATCCGCTTCTTTCCTAACTAACCCAAGGCCTCCCTATCCGAGGATGTCGAGAAGGCCAAGACTTGAACAGGGTTCAAAAAAGAACTAGATCCATTCATGGAGGCTATTAGCCAGGCTGGGCAAGGAGGGGGACCCTAGCCTCTGTTTGTCAGAGGTTGTGAATGGGTGACGTCGATCACTTGATCCATCACTCCCTCTGCAGCACCTGGCATTGGACTTTTGATCTGACCCAGTGTGGCTGTTTTTA